AAAACTCAAATCTATCTTACAACCACAAACAACTCTAACATACAGTTGAAAATGTTTATATTCCTGTAAATGATGAAAGTTGTATTGCTGTGGCATATTTTCTTAATAGTTTCCCACTGGATTCACTTTATGTTTCTCCAAATTTGTGCACTTACTTTTTCAAATTGTTTTTCAAATCCAGCTTACAACCACAAACAACTCTGACACACAGTAAACGATGAAAGTTGAATTGCTGTGGTATCTTTTCTTGATATTTACCTACTAGATTCATTTTATTTTTGTCCAAATTTATTCTTCCAATTGTTATTGTTACTAGTTGGACCAGAATCATGTTGTAATTTTTGGTTCACTTCATAACATATCATATAGATTTACTATGTACATCATGTGCCTGTGAAGAATGTCTAAGGTGTTGCCATCATGTCATGGTGTTCACATTTCAGGTTTTGGAAGATATGCGAGGTTTATTGCAACCAACAGACGAAAGAAAGCAAGCTGCAGTTGCTGAGCTATCTGGTAAACATCAAAAGGTAATCCAACACTAACATGCAGTGATTTGGTTCTTAAAGAATTGATCTTCCTCCCACCCCATACCTCGTTTTTTCTTTATCTTCTATCTCATCTTGCAAGGTTGATGATTTACCTATTTATTTGATCGAGTTTATGTAGTGTCATCAAAGAACATAATAGGAGAAGTATATAACACAAACAATCATGTAATACGTAATAATTTAACTAATCTAATATAATCACCTTAATAATCTTACGTTATTTAATCCCTTACTTTTTATTTTGAAGTTATTTAAATTTAATATATAAAATTATATTTTTGATTAACCAATAAATCAGTTATTAGTTATTATTGTTATATAAAATTTTTAGTTATTAGTTAACACATGCCTAGTTTGAGAAGGAGCCAAGTGAGGAAAACGAGAGGATATTCATAGAAAATTTGCAAAGACAATGGTAGAAGTTGCAAATGCTTGAATTTTTCGTTTAGCCATAAGTGATCTTTGCTAATATCCATGCTTTAAGGTCCTCAAATTACAGTTGAAGTGACTATAAAATACGTTGTTTATTATTATTCTTCTTGATATCATTTTCGTGTCTTATTGATTCATTTTCCAATATTTTTGTACTTCTAGGATAAGGGTCAACTCCTTGCAATTGTTGTTTGTAGAGGATTATCGGGCACATCAGTTTTAAATCTCTGCCAAATGTGAGTTTTTGAATATTATTAAAAATATTCTATTTATTTTTTATTTTATTATTTTTCTTCATATTCTATAATTATATTGCACATGCTTAAATTTATTAAAATTCTTTTAGAGATCTTGAAAATTTAAGAACGTGGAGGTAGATATGGTTCTTTAGATTTAGCTGATAGATAACAAGAAATAAATCAAATAAAAAGAAACCAGAAAAATTAATTTTTAATTTAGAAATAATATGTAAAAAATAAGTAATTAAATAAGGTTTAGGGGTTGAGGGTTTGGGGTTTGGGGGTTCGGGGGTTCGGGGTTCGGGGTTCGGGGTTCGGGGTTAGGGTTTAGGTTTAGGGTTTAGGGTTTAGGGTTTAGGGTTTAGGGGTTTAGGGTTTAGGGGTTTAGGGGTTTCGGGTTTCGGGTTTGGGGTTTGGGGTTAGGGGTTTCGGGTTTCGGGTTTCGGGTTTAGGGTTTAGGGTTTAGGGTTTAGGGTTTAGGGTTTAGGGTTTAGGGTTTAGGGTTTAGGGTTTAGGGTTTAGGGTTTAGGGTTTGGGGTTTGGGGTTTGGGGTTTAGGGTTTAGGGTTTGGGGTTAGGGGTTAGGGGTTTTAGGGTTTAGGGTTAGGGGTTTTAGGGTTTAGGGTTAGGGGTTAGGGGTTAGGGTTAGGGGTTAGGGGTTAGGGGTTTTAGGGTTAGGGGTTAGGGTTTAGGGGGTTAGGGGTTTTAGGGTTTAGGGGTTAGGGGTTAGGGGTTAGGGGTTAGGGGTTTTAGGGTTTAGGGGTTAGGGGTTTAGGGGTTAGGGGTTTTAGGGTTAGGGGTTTTAGGGTTAGGGGTTAGGGGTTTTAGGGTTAGGGGTTAGGGGTTTTAGGGTTAGGGGTTTTAGGGTTTAGGGTTTAGGGTTTAGGGTTTAGGGTTTAGGGTTTAGGGTTTAGGGTTTAGGGTTTAGGGTTTAGGGTTTAGGGTTTTAGGTTT